CAAAGGCCAGCTTAGGAGTACCCTAATTAAGTTACTAACAATGTACCTACCTATATAGTTTAAGTTTAAAAAATTTGGCTCTCAAGAGAAATTTCAATCGTGTACTGTTGATATTTGGCTCTGTTGACTAATGAGTTTGCCGACCACTGACCTAGACTATCCTAGTCCCATTTCCGTACCGACACCGATGTCTCTATCTATACATATGGGTCCCAGTAACTTCGTACTGACTGTTCCCTCTGCTTGGAATATCTTTCCCCCAAACACCTGCGCGTGGAGCCGAGGCACCATAGTGGTCCCTGACTCGGGCTCTGTGCTCTCTACCCGGCTCCCTGTGACTCCCTCTCAGTCCTATGTCAGTGGTACACGCTATGCACGTGGGGCGGGAAGGAAGCCGACCCACCAGGCATGGCTCAGTGGTTGAGTGTCAACCTATGAACCAGGAAGTCGAGGTTTGATTTCCAGTTGGGGCACATGCCCAGGTTGCAGGCTCAATCCTCAGTGGGGGGCGTGCAGGAGGCAGCTGATCAGTGTTTCTCTCTCATCACTGATGTTTCTATTTCTCTCCCCGTCTCCCTTCTTCCCTAAAATAAATTTTTAAAAAAGTTTAAAGTAAAAACAAAACAAACTTGTTGAATTATAAAAAATAAAAATCTTAGCGAGCAAAGAATAAAAAGTTCATTTCCTTAACCTGATAAGATACCTACCAGAAATCTCAGCGAACATCTTAGTGAATGGTTCCTTTAGGAGTCCGGAGTGAGGAATGCCTATTATCACTGCTTCTATCAACACTGCAGGTCTAGAACAAAAGAAAGAACGTGCTTGTGTAAGTCCCATCTGTAAGGATGGCAATGTGGCAGTGTGTGTAAGTCCCATCTGTAAGGATGGCAGGATGGCAGTGTGTGTAAGTCTTAAAAGACGCACACTCTGACCCTGCAACCCTACGTCTATGAGCAAGCCCAAGGAAATGCTGGGGGATGTAGCGTTAGGCTGCTGTAGGTTGTCTCCACAGTCAGAGGACCTGTGTGACAACAGGGGCTGGTTCTGTGGGTTCTGGCACGGACACAGGATGGAATACTAGTCACTGAAAATGATGCTGCATAAGAGCCATTCCTGGAAGGACCGCCTAAACTAGTGTGCTCACTATACCTTTAATAGATGCCGGGTGTGTGTACACACACACACACACACACACACACACACACACACACACTGGAAAGACCCACACTAGAACAGGGATGATTCCTTGTGCTGTTTCCCCAGTTCTCTTAGAGCAGGTGTCACTTTCCAACTAGGAAGCACATATATTTACAACGCTGCCTCCCGGGGGGTGGGGGGCGGGGCAGGGGAGGGAAGGGCAGCCGCTGTGTGCTCCATCACAGCTTCTATCCATCCAGAACCCACAGACCAGAAAGCTAAGTTGCATTCTTGTTCTACAAAGGAAAATCTAAAGGTTAATTTTATATATGCACACACACTCTCCAGTGATCTCTTTGCTAACTCATATTGAGAAACCTCTGTTAGGTCGAAGGGAAGCGCAGGAGCCCATGCATGCACAAGGCAGATGGTGGCGCAGATACTGGGCCCTTCCTGGAATTCCTAACAGGTCAGCGTGCCAGACAGATGGCGACAGAGACTCCTTCCTGGAACCCGTGACGGGCCTGCCCGCGGTGGGAACTCCCACAGCTCATGCCCCCCGCCCTCACTGAACAGCTGTATAAAAAAATGCCTCTACTCCCTCTCGGTGAGACTTCACTGGCCCCGCTCTTTGGGGCCCGTGTAGCTCACCCGGGAGTGCAGATTAAAGTACCACCTTTGATTTGTCTGACTCTTTAACTCTCTGACTTTGTCTCCTGCGCCGCGAACCCTTACACCATCCATTCTGCCAGGGTCTCAGCAGGCCACGGCCACCATGCAGCCCACAGATTAGACTGGGAAGATGGAGCTTATTGGGCTGTTTCCCTGGGTCACGTGACCAACGTGGGGGACCTCACAGCAGTGTTCTGTGCACTCGCAGACAGAAAACAGCACCCCAGCTACAACAAGGAACATCTTTATGCACATATCTTTGTAATCGACAGTCTTTAGAACAACAGCGAGAGAGACCAAAAAGGAATAGAATATTCCAAACCGTTATCGCCCATAGGTCGACATTACAAACTAGGTTTGTTTGGATCATCTGGGAGGACAGGTGTGGAGGGCCAGGAGGAGCGGCTCCCGGTGCCGAAGGGTGCAGGCATCTCTGAGGACAAAGGAGCCACTGCCTGGTGAGTGCTTCTGGTGCTTGCAGAGTGTCCAATACCTCGGGAAGAGAACAAGTCCATGGAGGTCTTTGTCCATGCTGTGCGGTTGAGGCTACTGCAGAGTCTTTATATTCTAAAGTAGGCAAGGCTTAGAAGTTCACCAATTCATAATTGAAAGTGAGTACACGGTACAATGCATGCACAGTATCGGAACAGAGAAAGCTTCCACGGAAATCTGTTGGTTTTAAATCCTGACAAGGTCATTTTTTACCTCAAAAGACTATTATGCTTTCAGTTATTCATTCATTCAACAAATACTCATCCCACACAATGTGCTCTCTCATCCATCCCCTTCTCAGACCAGCCCTGGGAAACAGGCGTGTGCTGGGAACAGAGACAGCTGGGCCACAGCAAGGCGAGATGCTCAGGGCCGCAGCCAGGGGCCTCCACACCATCACTGCCTTCCTGGGCCCCCACCGCAGGTTGCTGGGAGCTGACTCACAGAGGGAAGAACAATTCTGTGCTGTCAGACATCCCTCAAGGGAACAAGGTGGCTCTGACTCATTGGGGGCGGGGGAGGAGAAAAGAATCCGAGGTGGAATCATTCTTTTCTGTAAAGTTTAGCAGCTGGAAGAAAATCGTGTCATTTGCTTCACTTTGGGAAACATGGGTTGCAATGTCAGCCCCACTCTCCACCTACCCCTCCCCAAGACACAGGCTGTGGGCTTGGCTGCTTTTTAAGAAGCTACCTGCTAACTTCAGGCGGCACAGGATTCAAGCAAAACTGCAGTATCTTATCAGTCATGTTTTCCATCTTGCGTTCATCTGGGGGTCAAAATACCGCAAAGGGGATAAAATGGCTTTTTCTCGCTATGTCATTCTTGTGTTTCCTGTTCAAAGAAACCCACACAACCACATTTTCTATTTTATTATAAAAATGTATACCTCTCCTAGTAAAAGCCTTGTCTAAAACTATAGCTTTGGTTTCAGAATTAGCAACCCAACGAGCCCAGATTACTAGTGGCTGCACCAGCACTATGCCTGCAAGCATGGCCATGGTCTTCCAGCAATGAGGATGAGAGGCTGAGTCTATTCTTCTCGTGATGCTGAGAGAAGGACACTGAGGAGTAAGCCTTCGGTGTAGCCAAATGACAGCTGCATGTAGCATGTTTTAAAATGTACTATCTGCCCTGACTGGTTTGGCTCAGTGGATAGAGCGTCGGCCTGTGGACTGAGGGGTCCCAGGTTCGATTCCGGTCAAGGGCATGTACCACGGTTGCAGGCACATCCCCAGTAGGGGGTGTGCAGGAGGCAGCTGAATCGATGTTTCTCTCTCATTGATGTTTCTAACTCTCTATCCCTCTCCCTTCCTCTCTGTAAAAAATCAATAAAATATTTTTTTTAAAAAAAACTAAAATGTACTATCTGTTTGGGTGAAAAGGGTCGACTGGTTTTGTGAAACCACACAGGACTGTAAAGACCTGGAGGAAGGCCCTTGGAGTCAGGAAGGGAGTGCAGTATATGGCTTCCCAGTCGTGGTTTGTAGAACCTTTGTGGCCAGTGCATCTGCGTACAAAGAGCATGAAACCCGCCTCCTGCACCGGAGGAAATGTGGCTAAGTCACGCTGAAGAGGGGCAGTATTTACCTGCAGTATCCGAGGGGCTACTCCACCTCTCTGTGGCTGAGTTCCCATCTGCATAGTGGCATTAGCAGGTCTGTCTCTGACCTGCCGGGACCGGGGAGGAGTGGGTGAGAGAGAGCTGGAAAGCACTGGGCCTTCTCCAGAGAAAGGCAGTGTTCAAGTAACAAAATATTCAAAATTCCAATCAAAAGAAGCACAAAATTCAAGTAACAGAGTTGCAGGTGCTACGTTCTGGCTTTTGAGCAGAGCCTCGCTGCATCTGCCGTGGAGAGCTGGTAGGTAAGTGAGCTGCAGAGCAGAGGACGCGGGGCAAGCTGCCCATACAGCCCATCATGTCATCCCACCACCGAGGACCACAACGCTCCTTAGGAGGAGCACATGAGCCTTGGGGAAAGCTTAGGGGAATTAGCAAGCTGTTCTGAGCAGTTGCTGAGTGCCTATCCATTTGTGTTCTCTGCCTAAGATCTTCAAGTTAGTGATCGACCTAAATTTCAACAGATAAAAGTTTCCTTCATTTTGCAGCTAGAAATAGAAAGGGAGGGAAAGACTATCTGGAGTTTTCTCCTGCAATTTAACATAAGAATCAAAAACAATTTGAGACTGGCTGAAAGAAACGGCTGAAGGAAAACTCACACATACAAACATGCCCCCCAATAGGGCATGAAGAGGGGAATCGGGAAGTTTTTTGCAGCCAAGAAACTTCCTTTCTTTTTACAGTTCCTGTTCTAGCAAGCTAGTGGAGCATGCGTGCGTATTAATAACACCCAAAGGACCCTGAAGGCCCGCAGAACAGGAAGAAGGAAGAGGGACTAAGAGTCTAGGTACACAGTCTTTCCGAAACAGCTGACAATTAAAAATCGGGAAGACTTCACATTTTAAAACCACAATATTTATTTCGCCACCAAGAATCCATGGTACCGGTTATCAGTGGGTGGACAAACACCCCTAACCTAGCTCCCACCGTGACACCGCCAATCCTTGTGTTTACAGATGCGGCCCACCTCTGGACCCATCTATCCGCTTTCCCGGGGCAGCTGCAATTCCTCCGGAGCCATGTGGCTGGCACCCCTGCTCCACCACGAAAAGGTGACTCTCAGGGCGAAGTTTCTGGGAGTCACCGCTTCTTCGTGCTACTGTTCCCACCGGCGGCTTTGCTGAAGCCCCGGCTCATGTGAGGAAAGTGCACCGGCCGGGGTCCGCTCCGTGGGGCCGTACAGCCACCAGGTTCCTGGCGGCCGCTGGACCTTGCGCAGCGGCTGA